TGCATGAAAAGTGCATTTTATGTCGAGTGCTTAAAGAATTCTCAAGGGGCCGGTTCACACTCGGGTTGTGGAAGTTCGTTTAGTTTGAACAGGCCTTTAGCGAGTCTCAATGCATGAAATATCGCACATGTACTTCTTTTGGGCTGTGCAGTGAGCATTCGCGTATGTGTGTTGCGCTGTGTTGTGGCGCCGCGCATTTATTGTTTATGGACGCAGGTCCATTTACTGTATATGTAGCTCCGGTGCTTTTGTTTTTGCTGTATATGCGTGTTGAAGAGCAATGCTCCACTGTACACATGTCACGTGTTGCATTACACTGGGGCTGGTATCTAACTTCTGAGGTTTTCTCTAATTGTTGTCAATGAAGCCGCCTTTTTAAAAATATCGGCAGGCTCCTGGATTGGACACATTGGCCCCTAAATTCCCTATTGAAGTGACAATAAACTCAGGAGATATGGAACTGTGCTTCCTCCACCTCTCCTGCTGCTTTTTCATCATTAAGCTAACAACTCACCAGACATTAGGGGGTTAAAGTGACACTGAATTTAGTGGTTAAATCTTGAAAATGCTTTCAATTACCTTAACTCTGAACGGCAATGTACCTAATTCACTGGGCTGTAGATCCTCCAATCATCTCTGAATTGGTGCTGACACTGTCCTTTCTTCTGGAGGGGGGCTACTTTTTTTCCCCATGGTCCCTGTGTGTGTGTTGTAAAGTAGTCACCGCTCCAAGCTCACTCCCGGGATGGACTACATTCCCAATACAAATGAGTAAACTAAAAATGAGATTGTAGTCCATCCCGGGAGCGAGCTTGGAGCGGTGACTACTTTACAACACACACATACCGGCGTTCGCTCACTTCTTGATCCTGTCACATCTCTGCCGTGACAGGGGAGGGACTGGATTCCCCCCTCCCCACTCCGATGCTCCAGCGCTGACTGGTGGATCGGACGGGGGCGGGTACAGCTGCCTCTGCCTCTAGATAGGCAGAGCCAGCTGTCACTCACGCAGCTGGGCGGATCCAGACATAATTGTCGGGATCCGCTTCAGCTGCGTCGTCTCAGTATACCGCGAGCTGTAGGTCACTATATACTGAGCTTAGGGTGACGGGAGGACGCTAGTTTGTGCTCTCCCGTTACCCTAAGGAGAACTATGGGGAAAAGCCCTGACCCCATAGTTCTCCTTTAAAAATATTTTAAAAGCCATCTCCATTGACAACAATTAGAGACAAGTTTAGTAGCCACCAGCTGTAACTTGTAAGGAGCATCGGCTCCTGGGGTATGTCCGGCCCTGGCCTACATGTGAATCTAGCCTAGGTATACTTACATGTTACAATAGGATTTAGGTCATATTTAGGATCTGTCGCTTAGCATTTGCATATGTGTGTGTGCGTATGTGTGTCAGGGTGGATTTGATTTAAATCATGATTTTTATAGAGCAACTGTCATCTCAGTCCCGCAGCAGCTCCTCCTCTGACCTGCTGTTGACTCACCGACAGTCTCATTCACTTTAATGGGACGGCTGGTGATGCGGCAGTGACACAACAAGGTGAGGGACGTGGCAGGCAGCAGGTGAGTGGATGCCTGCTAAGGGCTCTTTAAATGTAAGGACTCATTCTTGCTGGTAGTAAGAATCTTTAATATTATTATTTGCAAACAAAATGAAGGTTTGCTATTTTAGAATAATAAGCGGTCAGGTTAGTAAAACAGCGATATCGGAGCCGGTTTTAGGTTAATCAGACATAGTGGAGAGCTCACACCTAGAGCCTGGTACAGATGCATTTCTCTTCAAACAATCATACAGTTTGTAGTGTATATAGATTTGCAAAACAATGGGATAAAGGAATCTTCCTGATCTTTGTTTTATGATTTATCTCATGGTTACTGTGAAATTGTGTGAATGTATCAGTGCCGTGCATGTTATCTCAGCTTGCAGAGCTTGGATTCATTGAATGAGTTTACCAACGATGTAAATATTGCAGAATATACAGCCTCATGGTACATAACTAAGCCCCAATTTCATGCTGAATAAACTAAATTATTAATCTTAAATACAAAACTATCTTTAGATAGATTTTTACTCCAAAAGCATTTTAAAATTTGATAAAAATCAAAAAAATCCGATTTAAATTTAAAAAATCTGTTTTTGTTTTTTTTAAATCATCGATTTTATCCACCCCAATGTGTGTGTATATACAGTATATATAACACAATAAAAAATTTAAAAAAAACCTTTTTATAGTCTCATATTTTTGCTGTTAACATTTGAACACTTTGGCAGACACATCGGTAGAAGATTACAGATGAAACTGTTCATCTGACTTCCTAATGTCGGGTGACCATATGCAAAGACATTGCGTCATGTGATCTCTGCCAAACCTAGGTTAGGAACTACTGTTCATAAAACCTGAAAGAAACTCTGTCTGAACTGGCACAGAGAGGAGACGGGAGTATCTAGAGCTCCAGCTGTTGTGGAACTATAAATCCCATGAGGCATTGCAAGACTCTGACAGCCACAGGCGTGACTCCCAGAGACAGATACATGATGGGACTTGTAGGATTTGTATGAGCCAGGGCCATTAGGATATTAAGCACATGAATAACTATGGAAATGAGCTAGCAGAAGATTAATGCTTGGGTGAAAGTAGAGCCGCCCAGCAGGGAGGCACACAGTCCACTGATGCAATAGAAATGCAGAAAGTTCATGACTGTAAAGGAGAACTGAGGTCAGTGCTTTTCCCCATAGTTCTCCTGAGGGTCATGGGAGGACATATAATAACCTCCTCCCGTGACACAAAGCTCAGTATATAGGGAGCTACAGCTCGCGATATACTGAGACACCGCAGACAGGACGGATCCCGACATTACTGTCGATATCCACCCAGCTTCGTGATTGACAGCTGGCTCTGCCTATCTAGAGGCAGAGCCAGCTGTCCCCTCCCCGTCCGTCTTGCTAGTCAGCGCTGGAGGATTGGAGCGAGGAGGGGGGGAATCCCTGCAGGGAGCCGTGAGTGACAGTCACCGCTCACTGCAGAGACGGGATCGAGAAGTGAGCGACGGTATGTGTTCGCTCACCTCCCGATCTATTGAGCCGATTTGTGACAGTATCATTGATTCCATGTATTGCATCAGAGCGGAGAGGCAGCTCCCTCCCGCCCCCCTGCTAGACACGCCCGCACGTCCGCCCACCTGTTTGTGGCTCCCTGGACGGCAGAGCGGACAGCTGCAGCCTGGTAAGACATCCCCCGAAAATAAGACCTAAGTGTCTTTTTTCGTGAAAAAAATAAAAAATAAGACCCTGTCTTATTTTCGGGGAAACACGGTAGTGCTCCTTTAAGGCCCCTTTTCCGTCAACAGATCCTGTCCTGATTGGAGTGGATGTCACTATGACTGTGACATCCGTGTCCGTACTCTTTTTTTTTTTTTTTTTTGTGTGAAAGTGCCGGACCCCATGTCTGTCTATGGGGAAACTGATGTAAACTGACTTGTGTACGTTTACATCATCTTACCTCCACTCCAGCACGATCCAGTCCGTCGAAGCGGATCCATGATCCGTCTGTTTTAACAGACCGGGCCGTAGCCGGGTGTAAACGGACACTCGTCCGTTTAAACGCGGCTGCCCGTAGACTTGCATAGAGCACCCGATCGGGTCCGGCTGAAAAGCTTACAGGCGGACCTGATCGGACTGCTCGTCTGACAGAAGCCTAAGAGGAACTTTACCCAGATCTTTGAAATGACAACTAAGACATCTTTAGAAATGTTTAGTAATGACAATCTACAAACACATACTTCTAGATAATTGCCGGCTTTGTATTCTTTGCATACCTTTTTCTTTTCCTTCCCATTCTTCTCATGGCGGCCATTTTAACTTAGGGCAGATGAATCCATCTCCCTTTACTTCCTGGAACTCTGGCACCTGTGACTAGGACATGTGACCATGCACTTCATCTCAGTGGAGGAAAATGCCTTTCCCCGAGATCTCATGAGATTTCCCAGCAATGCTCTGCTGATGTAATCTTCCCTGGATGTAACGCTTGGGCACAGATTACATCACTAATGCCCAAGAGGACCAGGAAGTAGAAAAACAATAATTGTAATTAAAAAGAAAAATATGTTTAATGAATGTAAGATGGTTTAATATCTATGAGGGGATTTTTATAGTGAAAGGGGGTAAAGTTCTGCTCTAATGGGGTGTTGGGGGACTGTATATAGTAAACCGTTCACTTGACTGATTTTCACCTGTTGGGAAACATTCACACCACGGTTGGTTCAAGTCTTATCAGACCGTATGTCAGCTAGTATGTTGCTGCATTTGTTTTAGGAGCATCACTTTTATTTAAAGCCCAACTCCGGGCAAGAGGACACTTTCAGATATATCATTAGACAGATGTTCAGGTCCGATCATCCAGACAGCTCCAATGTCCTCACAAGGAGTATGAGCTCTAGCTGTGCTTTCGGGCTGCTTGAGAGGCAGGCGCTGGGGGTCTTGTGGACCTCAGTGTTGCAGTTGCATCCCCGACCTCCAGGCCGGTCACAAAAAGGAACCTAGGTCTCTTTGCCCGAATCACTTCCAGCACAAAGTCGTCAGTCAGCTTGTGTGAGACTATCCATAGCAGCTGGGAGTGTATTAAAAAAAAAAAAAAGTGTGAATGACCCCTGAAGGCTTTTTCCTTGTCTGTGCATTGGATAGCGGCACTAGGTGGCCATATGCAGTCAGCTTTTCCAGTCAGATTTAGAACTTTCGTGAGAAGTGTATTGTACACACAATACTGATAAAAGATAGAGGGACTTTATGTACAAGGGAGATGATTATTGTAGTTGGTGCACTTAGAAGCACTTAGCGAGGGGAGAGAGATCTTCATGGTAGGGATATGTTAGATGTGCTCGTTGTTATCATGTACTTGCTGCTAATACTTCAATAATGAAATGATGTGCCACGTGTAATGGAATAACATTCGTAATGTAATAAGAAACAGACCTGTAGCTGTGTTTTGGCAGCGATGATCACACTCTCTCATGGGTGTCAAGTGTTTGAGGACGATAACCAGAGGTTCACGTTGGACCCAACAAATGTGCAGAGGGGCGTGGCTTGCACTTTAGGGACAGGCTGGCATCCAGTTAGATTCATATTGGTAGCAGAATGGCGCCTTTGTTTTTGTTGCTTAAAAAAATCAGTCGGTTCCATTTCCTTTGTGGTTTACACGCTTTTGCTGATACGGGTACATAGCTGCAATAAACAGGTTTTTTGGGTGTCTGTGTTCTCATGAGATTCTTGTATATTAGTATTGATCTTTTTAGCATTCAGACAGATAGGGCAGCAATAGTGATACGATTCTGTGCATGGCGGTGAAATTCACAATAATAAAGCCCATCGCTACACTAAGATCCAGTAACGTGACTGAGACACAATGCTTGTAGGTTGCTGGAGATAATTGCCATGTTGGTTTTTGCATCGGCTATCCTTTATTCCTCTGCTTAGAGAAAAGTACAATCTACAATGTGTCTACGTTTCAGTTTTCAGCTGCTTTTTACTGAGATATATAATTGTATGAATCTTGGACCCTACGCCCTGGCTGTGGACATGGACATAATTATACCCCAGCTCCAGTCATTGAACACACAAATTGTGGAACCTCTACTGCCAACTCAGACTCTGGCATTTGACACTTGACTGACGAGGTTGTACGTTATTATTAGGGATGCACCAATACCGATACTAGTGTAGGCATTGGTGCCGATACCAAGAATTTGGGCCAGTACTCGTATGTGCCCGATGCCTATCCTAATGTTGGAACTTCCGGTCTCGGGAAGCAGGGCGGCAAGTCGTTACACACTGCCCAGCTTTCTGATTGGCTGTGGAGCTGGCTTCCTGGCGCATCAGGAAGCCGGGCACTGTGTAATGACTAGCCCCCCCGGGTTCCTGATTGATGGGGAAGCTCGCCAATCAGAAAGCCAGGCGGCAAGTCATTTCCCGCCCTTGGCTTCCTTATTGGCCATGCTTCTTCGTCACCTGGTGATGAGGGGGCATGGAGATGGCTTCCTGGCTAATCGGGAAGCCGAGCAGCGAGTCATTACACCCTGCCCGGCTTCCATATTGGGACTTCCGGTATCGGCGAGTACTGCAAAAAAATAGATATCGGTACTCGATGCTGAAAAACCGGTATCGCTGCATCCCTACTTTATTATAGGGAGGGTTGGGGCTTAAAAGGGAACATTGGGTTATTTTTCACAAATTGCTAGGAGATGCATGTCTCTTCTGATAGAAGAACCTTTCCCCTCTCTCCTGGCTTTTTTTGAATGAGTGTATACAGTGAACACAGCTTTGGTCTCCCATTGCAGAAGGAGCGGGTGAGTACAGTTCCAATGTAATATCATGTTGGAGAGTGAAGACGGCCTTGTGCATAGCCAGGGTCTGGCACCAAGGGGCCCCATGGAAACATGATTTAAAGCCTAACACGGCTACTTGCAGTCACTACAAGTTCATTTTAAAGGAGAAATATTAGGTTATGTGCACTTCCAATTTTTAAACTTTCAGTTGAGAAATTGCAAATATTAAAGGAGAACTATGAGGTGAGAGCTTTTCAGTTCTAGCCGACCTGTGACAATGAGACTGTCACAGGTCGGCTCAGTAGATCGGGATGCTATCTATGCAGATGTCAAAATGGAGCAGGCTTGCTGGGCGCTGTAGTCCCAAGAGGCAATGTCAGGACCTTGGCAGTTACTGGGGCCAGGCCCTTAGCTTCCTTTCCAGGCCCAACCAAATGGCGTAACGCCAGGATTTGGTCACGCTGTGACCCTGGTAGTTACGCCAGTGGCTCCGGTCCCATCCCTCCCACCAACCCAAATCCCACAAGGTGCATTGTGGGCTTTGTGGAGCCAAGGTAATATGCGCATACTGGGCACATTTAGAAGAGGAACTTGGATAAGGAAGGATTACATACTACCATTAGGTAGCGCCTTTTATTATCCCCCATTAATGGCTGTTTACTTTAAACACTGACATCGGAAAAGGGAGTTTCCCTCAAGCAATCGGAAGAGGACAGCACTTGTTTTATTTGAAGCAGCAAATGAGCTTTATCTTTCCATTTTCCATCTGCTGGTGGTGGCTGATGTCCAAATTGAAGTTATAAATGGCGTTAAAGAAGAACTCTGGGCAAACCTACTGGAGTGAGGCTGCTTCCACTGCAAAGGTTAAGCACTTGTTTTGTCCAAGGGATTTAAATAAAGCTTTATTACTCGCTTATCCTCGGTCCCGCCAGCTCTCTGGACTGCTAAACTGCGGCCACTTCTCCCAGGGCTCCAGCGTACTGCTGATGTCTTATGCAGGTCCATTGACCCGCACTAGATGCGAGGACACTGAGGGACACTCCATAGCCAGAGAGGAGGGCTGGCTGCCCCCGGAGCTGGGATAAGGGTAAGTATATTGGCTTTATTTGACCTCGCTAGGCACTGGCAACAAGAAAAAGCCTTACCATTGCAGGCTATCCCCCGCACTGCAGGGTTAAGATTTTTTTTTAGGGGGATTTTTTTGCCCAGATTTTTTCTAAAGGTGGATTTCTTATTTATTGGTTTTGCAGTGTACAGATGCTGAGGTTACTCTTCTTTAGACAAAGTCGGCCAAATAAAGGTATACAGGAGCATTAGGCATTTGCAGCGATAAAATGGATTGTAAGTGATACCGGCCCATAACACCCAAGCAGTGACCATACGGGGTGGGGGGGCGGCTTTTACATACCAGGACTCGCACGACACCCAGTTCTGGTTTTGAATTGAGCGGTGGGAATTTCTACGCAGGAATACAGGTGGCTTCTTACAACCGAAACTGTAGGAGTTAGTTTTACTTATTTTTAGATTTGAATCATTTCAGAAGTGAACTCGAAGAACTTTATGATCAGCCTGTGAGGAAATGTAGCTTTTAATCTTTTCGTTATGCAAAAGCTGGATGAAAAAGGCAATGTTTGCGTGTCAGTATCACAGTATATGAATGAGTGATCGCTGGCTACATTTAGGATGGAATTCAGGACAGGATTGGCTCATTCATACTTGAATCGTTTACAGCAGCAGTTTTGTAATGCAGCTAAAGTGACACTAAATTCAGGATTTCAATTTTAAAAATCCATTCAAGTACCTGAACTCTGAACAACAATGTGTCTTATTTGTGTATCACTCGGCTGTAGATCTTCAAATCATCTCTCAATTGGTGCTGACACTGTCTTTCCTTCTGGAGGGGGCTACGTCTGTCCCCCATGGTCCCTGTGTGTGCTGTAAAGTAGTCACCGCTCCAAGCTCACTCCTGGGATGGACTACAATCTCAATACAAATCAGTAAACCAAACATGAGATTGTAATCCATCCCGGGAGTGAGCTTGGAGCGGTGACTACTTTACAACACACACAGGGACCATGGGGAACAGAAGTAGCCCCCCTCCAGAAGGAAGGACAGTGTCGGCACCAATTCAGAGATGATTTGAAGATCTACAGCTGAGTGATATTGTGATTGTAATGTCTTATTTATATTGTAGAGCACTGCGCAAACTGTTGGCGCTATATAAATCCTGTATAATAATAATAGTTAAGGGACCTGAATGTATTAAGATTTAACTCCTGAGTTTAGTAAGGGCTTGTTCATGCCAGACACAGTGCGTTCCAGCCCCATTCTGGCCAGAACGCACTTGATCGTATTGCGGCCAGCTCACTTTGTTGTGGGATGGGAGGGGATGTGGCGGTGCATTGACCTTAATGGCACGGTAGCCACTCCCTCCGGTTGCAATGCGATCGGCCGCACCGGAATGCAACGCACAGCAGTGCCTGAGGTCCGGTCAGAAAAAATACTGCACGCACTATATTTTCTGACCGGATCGCAGGCATTGATGTGCCTTGCGTTCCCATTGGGCCGGAGGGCTTGGCTACACTGCCATTGAGATCAATGCACCTCCTGCCCCACAACAAAGCGAGACAATCCAGTGCGTTACACCCAGAATCGGGCCTGAACGCACTGTGTCTGGTGTGAACGGGCCCTCCCAGTTTAATAGAGCTTGGTGCCTGTGAGTTTTGTGCCACTGCCGATGACAGCATTTCATCATGAATAGCAGCAGGTGTGTCCCAGGGGATGAGCGGACCTTTCCTGCAATAACCAGAACAGTGCTGATGCATCACTACATTGTAACATTCCGCAGATGAAGCTTTGTAATACATTGTTAACATTTTCTGCAGTATACCGTACAGCTCCAGAGTAGACCTGTTATTAAAAAGACACAAATTATTGCAGCTCTGCATTCATTAATAGAGACGTAAGTGTATTTTTGTAAATATAAACAGTGTATGTAGCTAAGATTGACCTGGTATCAGCCTTTAAAGTCCCTGCACAGCAGAGCTCAGAGTGGGAGAAGGAGGCAGCACAAGAAGCCAATCAGTTCTCATGCTGGCCAGGAGCATGATGATAAAAAGAGAAAGCAGAGTGATGGAGAGATGAGCTCATATCTGTGCTGCTTCTCTTTCACTGTCCAGTCACAGACTGGGGGTGGGTGAGTGGCAGCCTGTGCTCATAGGAAATGTGTTGAATGATGAAGGTTGTCATTTTAGCAAAGACAACTAAGGCCTAGGCGACACCTCGCTGCATTCATGCACGATTCCGCACGGTCAGCAGTTGCCAAGGCGTTAACCGATCGCGCTGTGGGTGCCATTATTTTCTAATGGCACCCCAGTCACGCCGGGCAGATCGCGCTAAAACAGCCGAGTGTTGTGTATCGCAAAAAACGGCACTTGTACCTTTTTTTTGTCTGCGACTGCCGTCCGTATGGCACCCCATTGAAATCAATGGGGCTGGGGCGCAATCGATGCCTGCATTTTGCATGACCGCTCGACACCCGGGACGTGCGCCCCTGGTGTAGTGCAGGTGTGAACCTAGCCTTAAGGCATTTAGTGGCAGTGCTCTGGGAACAGTTCCATATAGCAGGTACATTGCCACAAAGTCTGCTTTTTATTTTATCATTTAATAAACAATTTTTATTTTTGACCAATGTTCTGCTTTAAAATTCACATTTTGCATGAACCGCGTGTCGGTGTAGCCAGATCACATTGTTTGTGTTTAGTGGAAATAAAGTACACTCTTCTTGCCATGAATTAAAAAAATGCTACTGATCTCCCTCTTGGTACCTAAAGCTTGCACCAAGATCATTTAACTAATTTTGCTTTATTGTGCTCATTGTCTCCTAACAGAAGCGGTACAGCTTATCCGTGGGGCCACCGAAGAAGGACCCAAAGGTGAAAGGGGTTCAGTCTGCCGCTGTCCGGGCTTTTCTGAGGCGAAAGGAAGAAGAGTCGTTCCACAAGGGTACGTACAATTGGTTATTATTCCTACAAGGAAAATGTTTCTCATCTTCTACTGTTGCTCTGCACCACATCTAGAGAACGCTTTTGATCGCAGTTGAACTAAGTGTTCTGAATCGAGCACAAAGGCAGCTAACCCATCGCATCTTCCAGATATTGTACACATACAAGGGCAGGGGGGACTTTGCATGTAGAAAGCCCTTGGCTGGGTATGTGTGATTGTTGGTTTTGTTTCTTGTATTGTATGCTGTATTTCTCAAAACGTACATGCTACAAGTTGAGAAGTAGCTTAGACACCTACAGAGTGTAGGATTAATGAAATCGGGAAATAATGGGAGTTTTCCCTATTTGAGGACAAACTGCAATAAAACAAAAGGAGGTTCGAACTCTCTATTTAATCCTAGGGATGCACCGATAGCGAGTATTTGGGCAAGTACTCGTCCTTGCCCAAATGCCCGGATACTGTAACTTCCGGTCAGAGGGAGTTTTCCTCTGACCGGCAGTGCCGCGAGGGAACATGGAGCAGGGAAGGGTGCTGATTGACCGGGAAGCTGACTTCCCAGCCAATCAGAATCGAGCCGGGCAAACAAATCTGATAATATGGCAACAGGACCCCCACCCTGCAGACAAATCATTCCCCTCACATAGATCCTCAGCAGCAGTCATCACCGTACCAGTCCCTCGGCCAGCTGGGCAGACACCGCTCTACGGGATCTGCCCACGTCTCCTGTGTGCACAGCGCCCGTGTGATGGGCCCTCAGCGTGCTACTGCGCATGCACAGAGATTTCTGAATGAGAGCGCTGGGCAGTCTGGGTATGCACAGTGGCAGGCTGAGGGCCGATCACGTGGGCGCTGTACACACAGGAGACATGGGCAGATCCGAGAGAGCTTGGAGAGCGGTGTCTGCCAAGCTGACTGGTAACTTAATGACTGCTGCTAGGGATCTATGTGAGGGGAATGAGGTGCTTGCAGGGTTGGGGGCCGTGTCAACATATTGTCGGATCTGTTTGAAAGGCCTCGATGCAGATTGGCTGGGAAGCCGGCTTCCCGGCCAATCAGCATCGAGCCGGCCAAACAGAGTCGGCTTCCCTGGCAATCAAGAAGCCGGCAGTGGGTAATGACTAGCTTCCTGATTGCCCGGGAAGCCGGCTCTATGCTACCGGAAGTATCGGTACTCAGTACTGGCGATATACTGGCTTCCTGATTGCCCGGGAAGCCGGCTCTATACTCCCGGAAGTATCGGTACTCAGTACTGGCGATATACTGGCTTCCTGATTGCCCGGGAAGCCGGCTCTATGCTACCGGAAGTATCGGTACTCAGTACTGGCGATATACTGGCTTCCTGATTGCCCGGGAAGCCGGCTCTATGCTACCGGAAGTATCGGTACTCAGTACTGGCGATATACTGGCTTCCTGATTGCCCGGGAAGCCGGCTCTATGCTACCGGAAGTATCGGTACTCAGTACTGGCGATATACTGGCTTCCTGATTGCCCGGGAAGCCGGCTCTATGCTACCGGAAGTATCGGTACTCAGTACTGGCGATATACTGGCTTCCTGATTGCCCGGGAAGCCGGCTCTATGCTACCGGAAGTATCGGTACTCAGTACTGGCGATATACTGGCTTCCTGATTGCCCGGGAAGCCGGCTCTATGCTACCGGAAGTATCGGTACTCAGTACTGGCGATATACTGGCTTCCTGATTGCCCGGGAAGCCGGCTCTATGCTACCGGAAGTATCGGTACTCAGTACTGGCGATATACTGGCTTCCTGATTGCCCGGGAAGCCGGCTCTATGCTACCGGAAGTATCGGTACTCAGTACTGGCGATATACTGGCTTCCTGATTGCCCGGGAAGCCGGCTCTATGCTACTGGAAGTATTGGTACTCAGTACCGAAATATAAATATCGGTTATCGGTGCGTGCCTATTTTATACAAAATTTTGGCTGGAATTTTGCTTTGATGATAGCGGTTGACGACACATATTTGTTAGCTGTGATTAAAAACACTTTTTCTGTTTTTAGAACTGGAAGAAAAGAAAAAGAAAGAGGAACTTTTGGCTAAACGGAAAGAAATGAAACATGACAAGAAGGCCAGGGCCATGGCATCGAGGACAAAAGACAACTTCTATGGATATAATGGCATTCCGATGGAAGAGAAACCCAAAAAACGCCAGCGGGACCTCGAGAATGATGAAGGTTCCAGTGAGCGGACTGAAAGGGAGGACTTCCTGACAGAGGAAGAAATGTACGAATATTCACAAAGCGAGTCTGAAGAAGAGGAGGCAGAGGAGCCGCCGCCGCCACCACCACCAAAAAAACAGAAACTCGGCAACATAAAAAAACCTCCGTCAGCAGGCCTGAATTTTGCCGAATTGCTAAAACTTGCTGAGAAGAAACAGTTTGAGCCAGTGGAGTTTAAACCCGTGAAAACGAACGAGGAAAGACCGAGGACTGCTGAAGAAATACGAGAAATTGAGTTTTTGGAGCGGAAGAATCGGAAAGTAGAGAGGTCCGTTGACAAGCACTCAAAAACAAATGGCCAGGTGGTGAAAGTCCATAAAAGCTCCTCGGATAAACATTCCTCTTCTAAAGAACGCCATTCCGAGGACAGAAAATCTAAAAGCTCATCTCTCTCTAAAAATGTTCCCCCTGAGAAGGTCAGGAGTGGGCACAATGGGGAAAATAAAAAACATTCAGATGGGAGCCACAAATCTGAGAAAAAGGCCTCCTCCTCCTCTTCCTCGCACAGTAAAGTCTACAAGGTTTCTTCCAGTGGAAACTCCAAACCGTCTTCTGGCAGAGATCATTCTTTTAAGCACTCTTCATCCTCCTCCTCTAAACAAGATGGGAGCTTCAATGGAAAACTACAGGGTAGTGTTCGTCCTGGTGGGTCAAGTTCTGGAAAATCAATGGGAAGTTCTGGCTCCAACTCTGTGAGGCCTTCTAGTACACCCAAGCCTTCTGAAAGTACTGCTACTAACTCTGCTAGGCCCTCTGGGTCATCTAGTTCCAGCAGGCCCTCTGGAGGATCCATTTCTTCATCAACCCGGCCGCCATCAAGTTCTAGTTCCTCCAAGTCTCATGGCAACTCTGGTTCTGTTCGTCCTTCCAGCAGCTCCGGTTCTGTTCGTCCTTCCAGCAGCTCCGGTTCAAGTTCAGTCAAGCCCACCAGCAGTTCCGGGTCAGTTAAACCTCCTCCTAGTAGCTCTGGTGGATCACGCCCTAGCAGCGGAGGACATTCAAGCAGCCGTTCGGGTCCTCCTCGTCCTTCCAGCGTTTCTGGATCTAGTAGACCAGCCAGTGGACTTCCCTCATCAAGTGCTAAACCTAAAAGTGTTCCTTCAGGCAAAGAACTGGTACGCCCAAATGGTGGCCTACCTTTAAGTTCTCGACCTCCATCTCATTCTGGACCTGGAAGGCCAGTGAATAATTCCGTGGCGGGACCTGGAAGGCCAGTGAATAATTCCGTGGCGGGACCTGGAAGGCCAGTGAATAATTCCGTGGGGGGACCTGGAAGGCCAGGGAATAATTCAGCAGCGGGACCTGGAAGGCCAGGGAATAATTTAGCAGCACGACCTGGAAGGCCTGTGAATAATTCAGCAGCCGGACCTGGAAGGCCTGTGAATAATTCAGCAGCCGGACCTGGAAGGCCTGTGAATAATTCAGCAGCGGGACCTGGATCAAAGCCCAAGTGCACCGTGGTGGCTGAAACAATTTCATCCAAAAGTTTGGTTCCCAAATCTAACAATGGACCTGTAAACGGAATGCGACCTGGACCTGTCAATGGAATGCGACCTGGACCTGTCAATGGAATGCGACCTGGGCAGAGACCAATGGCACGCCCTCCAGGTATTTGATGTTCAACTTTTAAAGAGGCTCTCACACTTCTGAAATAATTATCATTTTAATGCAAGTTATGAAATGCTATTAATGTAATCTTCACGAGAGATCTGTTGTCCTGACTCTGTGTCCATGTTAGGATTCCTCGCCTTGTACTCGCCTCGTTACTGTCCTACTCTTTTCTCTCTGCAGCCGATTAGTTGAGGAGATGCATCTTTGGGACTAACAGCCTTTCTCCTCTTTTTAGCATGATTTGATCAGGCGGGGGAGGAGGAGGCTGAGCATCCGGTTTATTGCTTACCATCCGCCCATCATGTATGAACGGACGGCTCGCTCTCGACAGTGGGGTTTTTTTTACCTGCTTGTGCGTGCCCCTTAGTGCTCGCTCGAGCAGGACACTGTAAACATGTGTTGCAGCTGCCAATGGCGGTTTACATACAAGTAGGGATGCAGCGATGCCGAATATTCGGGCAAGTACTCGCCTAAATACTCCGATACCTTAACTGATACTGGACTTCTGGTCGGCACTGCCGCGAGGTAACATGGAGCCAGCTTCCTGGGTAATGACACACCACCCGGCTTCCTGATTGCCCAGGAAGCCAACTCCATGCTATCGGAAGTACCAGTATTGGCGAGTACGGAAAATATAAATATCTGTACTCGCACTCAATACCGGAAAACTGGTATCGATGCATCCCTACATAGAACCACCTGATCTCTTGTATAGTGCTTGGGAGTGTGCACTGTCTCCGCTGCCGGCTGTCCCAGGCTCCGCTGTCGCCTGCGTGGGCCCGGGACGTCCCCTGCTCCTTCTTGGATTAAGCGGTTAGGGGTACGATGGGTATATGGATGTCCCCTGCTCCTTCTTGGCTTAAGCGGTCAGGGGTACGATGGGTATATGGACGTCCCCTGCTCCTTCTTGGCTTAAGCAGTCAGGGGTACGATGGGTATATGGTCGTCCCCTGCTCCTTCTTGGATGAAGGGGTCAGGTGTACGATGGGTATATGGACGTCCCCTGCTCCTTCTTGGATGAAGGGGTCAGGTGTACGATGGGTATATGGACGTCCCCTGCTCCTTCTTGGATGAAGGGGTCAGGTGTACGATGGGTATATGGACGTCCCCTGCTCCTTCTTGGATGAAGGGGTCAGGGGTACGATGGACGTCCCCTGCTCCTTCTTGGATTAAGGGGTCAGGGGTACGATGGGTATATGGACGTCCCCTGCTCATACTTGGAATAAGCGGTCAGGGGTACGATGGGTATATGGAATTCTGTTTAAGTTTGGCTTCACACCAGATGTGTTGGGGCTGCTTTGGATTTTGTTTTTTACAGTGCAGCTCCAACACAAGACAAGGCAATTTGCCTTCTCACGGATGGACATAGTTCATACCACTGCAATGTTGTGTGTTGTGGTGCTGTGCATGCAGTACTTTTTCTTTTTCCAGCGAAGTGGGATTTGATGTGGAGCAACTGCCTTGTGCTAGACTGTGTCCATAGAATTTAATGCAATTTAATTTGTGACATTTCAAAAAAAGTTCTAAAAACAAAAAAGTAAACAGTGATGCCTGAACACCAGCCGCTTTGCACTTTAGCACATCTGGTGGTGTGAAAGGACCCTTAAAGTTTAATGCTCTGGGGTGAAGGACACAACCTGCCGCCCCTCCCCCGGGTCCCAATCCATCTTTGAAAGCCTTCAATAGAAGATTTGTAATAAAGCAGAGCGGGTGCATGTATGGAGGGTGTGTTCCTAATTTGTTACTTGTTCTTTGCAGGACCCCTACTGCCCCCGATAACCAGCTCGTACAAGCGGAGAATTGATGATGAAGACGAGTACGACTCTGAAATGGAAGACTTCATCGATGACGGAGGAGAGTGCCAAGACGAAATTTCAAAGCACATTCGGGAAATATTTGGCTATGATAAGAACAAGTAAGTGTCAGACGGTAATGAGGTCCTAAACGGGAATCCATTACAGTGAAGGAGGATTGTTGGCTTCATAATGACCAATGATGGGTGGTCCAGGAATACAGTAAAATATACCTTATGATCAGTGTACACATGTGACGCACAGACAAGTGTTTTCTCTTTGCCCCAGCTCAAAAGTCTCCTGATTTTCCCACTGATGCACCCTACTTAATGCAAATGCCGCAAAGAATTCTGGGATATGCAGTCTAGTCAATAACTTGATGGGGCTTGCTGACACTATGGAAAGTGAATGGCGACTCCGGCCATGAGTAGCAAGAACATACAACAATTATAGAGACCACTCCAAGCTCGCTCCTGTGATGGACTACAATCTCAGTACAAATGAGTAAACTAAACGTGAGATTGTAGTCCATCATGGGCGGGAGCTTGGAGCGGTGACTACTCTCCAACACACACAGCGACCATGGGGAACAAAAGTAGTCACCCTCCAGAAGGAAGGACAGTATCGGCACCAATTCAGAGATGATTGGAAGACCTACAGCTGAGTGATACACAAATAAGATACATTGTTGTTAATAGTTCAGGTGCTGGAATGTATTTTTAAGATTTAACTAAGTTTAGTGTCACTTTAACCCCCTGATGTCTGGAGAGCTGTTGGGTTAATGATGAAAAAATGCATAAAATGGTTGCATTAGAAGCAGAGAGATCCTTGCACTGCATGTCTTCAGGTACAGCTTCCTCTCCAAGGACAGTGAGCAGCACAGTAGTGACGTCACCAAATCTGGTGAGAGGATCAGTCGGAGGCAGCGGTGCTTTAGATGATCTCACACTGCAAGCATACAGCTATGAGGCTACAGGACAGAAATGCACTGCTATCCCTCTGGAGGAATTCCAGAAAAATATTGATTTTCAGGGTACTGTGTAAGCACAAGTAACATTACTAGATGTCCCATTCAGGGTCCATATTGTAAGAGAACTATGGCCAAACCTTTTTGGGGGGGTATTTAGTTCTCTTTTGGGTCACAGGAGGGAGTACCGCTATATGCCAACAGTGCAGAGCCGCTCTGCAGCCGGGAAAGGTCCCAACAACATTGCCGGGATCCACCGCACCGCCTGATTGACAGCTGGATCTGCCTCTCCAAGGCCAAAGCCAGCTGCGCCCGCCCCCTCCCCTGCCTGTCTCTCTAATACTTGCTGGAGGAACAGAGAGAGAGGAGGGGGAAACGCTGCGTGGTGCAGTGACTGATGCTAGCTGAGCGATCATCGGTTTGTGATCGCTCAGTTCTTGATCAGTAGAGCCAGCGTGTGACGGCTGCAGTGTCAGACGACGGCTCTCAGTATTGAGAAGAGTACATTTTACCCTCCCAATATCCCTTCACACATTTGTACTTTAAAAAGCCATGCGTTATTGTAAATGGGATTTTTAGCATTTTATTTTCCATCTGTATTAAATGAAAATGACGACAAATCCCTTCAACTGAACCGATCACCCATTCTGAACATGAGAAACTAAAATTGCTGCTTTAAAGGAGAACTCATAAGGTGCCCATTGCTACCCTCCGAAGCCATTTCTGCATCTCCTTTCAAAGCACCTCAGTCCAAGCCGCTCCTCTAAGGGAATTGGGGACGGGAAAGCCTGGGCTCCATAGCACCGCAATCCAAGCCACAAGGGGATTGAGGGCAGCTTTATGAAAAACAGGCAGGCGTGCACTTTCTTATCCTCAGCATGATGGGACATGTAGTCCTGAAACATGTAATCTTTCTACGACATCTACTGTGCACTCTTGCCAATGATCAGTTCAGGGTATCAGCGCTTGGTGAAAGGGGGGAACAGGCGGCATTTCTAATCAATAAATGTGTTTGCGGATGTATTCGGGGCATGAAAAGCCCAATGCACAGATTGAGGTGATGGTTATCAATATTGTTATGTAAATATCACTTAATACAAAAACCTCTCCTGTACTCTGTATGGTAATCCCTAGTAAGACCGAGTGCAGACAGTGCTGTATGGTAGAAGTAGAATGATGAACTATTCTGCCTTGTTTCAGGTACCGAGATGAGAGCGACTACGCACTGCGATACATGGAGTCTACTTTCAGAGAACAGCAGAAGGAGGAAGCCAGGAGGTAAGTCATGCTATGCTTTATATGTGTCAGACTCTTGTATATCCATATGCTACACAAGGGGTCTGCTTCTGATATTTGTGTATAGTGATGAGGCTGGGCTTGGTCCATCACATCCAAAAAGAGGATCGTTCTTATTCCAGGACAGTAGCCAGCCGCCCAAGCCAGGTCAAAGCTTTTACTGCCACCCCCTCCTCCTGACCCTAGCAGTTGTGGGAAGTCCTATTCCCCGCCGTGCAGCTATACGTCACTAAGGGGCAGGAAACGCAACTGCTGTCACAGATTGAGTCGGGAGGAGGTGGTGGCAGTCGGTTTTGAGGCGACACTCCTGGAATGAGGAATGATCCTCTTATTTTTGGGATATGTGATGCAATGAGACCTGTGAATACTTTCTGTTCTATGAAGGTTTTACTGTGCTATGTAATGATTCAGTTGGAGGGCTTTTTGATTCCTTTAGTCCCTTCTCTCCATCACCTGTATGGTGATACTGGCCCGTCAGGTCCCAACACTACTCCATAGACGCCATTGTTCCCATGCCCTGCACTGATGATGATCCGAAATCCTGAAACAGATGTATACAGTTTGGAATAAACGGCTCTATAATATGAGGATATATTTACTCTATGCACCATTGGTTCTGGACCTGCATCTGGCCATTGCCGTGTAAAGTGATGATTTGTATGGCTCCGCCCACTTATTTTGGGATAAATGACAGAAACGATACATGTGAATACTTTCTGTTGTAGGAAGACATTACTGCGCAATGAATTGTGTGTTTTGTAGTTTGTACGATGCCTAATGTGTTTCTTATCTGTGTCAGCCTGCGGTTAGGAATCCAGGAAGATCTCGAGGAGTTGAAACGAGAAGAAGAGGAATTAAAGAGAAAAGCAAAACTGGCCAAGAAGATGAAAAGTCGATAGCGTCCGCTACGACCGCTCTCAATGAACTTTTACTGAGCCTCCTGGGGTGGGCAACGCACCGCGCTCTGCCGCCAGGGGGACACTGGAACCCACTCATGAAATTTTCAGGAAGTTTGTTTTGGAATCTGAGTCACGAGAAATGAACTTCTGGCCAATTTCACTTGTCAGAGTTTTTCAAGTTTTTGCTACAGTTTCACAGATCAGAACCCCCAGGAAGCAGTCCGATCCCATTTATATTTTCCTCTTTATAAATCTCAAATTCTGAGTCATGTTCTGAGAACAGAGATCGGCCAATGAATTATTCCCAGGAATGGAAGGATGATGAACTAGTCCCACCTCTGTATAGATATCGGTATATAATATAGTGCTATAATGTCCCCAGAGTTCCATGAATTATTGTGTGTCTGTGCAGTAAATGGAAGATTATTTTATGGTCGGGGATTGTGTGCAATCCTATAGAAGTGCCCTTACCACATTCTATTGTTTGGTACCGTATTTCCCCCCCAAAAAGGCTGCCTGCTGTTCAATCAGTCTGATCGGGAGCTGATAGTCCAGGACCGAGCTACACAGAAATCCACCACCAATGTAATGATTACTGTGGGATGAAATGTCTGCCTTCAGAACAGAAGTTCTGATAAACGGAAACATCTGTGAATGTTATTAAAAGCTCATTTCCATGTATTATGAAGTTGTGTTTTATAGTTGTTCCTTTAAAGCGGACCTGAAATCCAATAAGACCCCCTCCCCCACACCCGATTCCATTGCCCTGGCATTCCCTAAGGCTGCATTCACACAGACGGCTGTGTTACAATACACAGACACCGGTGTATGTTAGCGGTCACGGTGCTGGTGTGCCAATCCCGGCGCATTGCATTGTTTTCTTTTTTTTTTTATAGAACTTTATTGAAATGTCACAAGTTCTTTAGGCGCAGTGTACTGCATCACGGCCCGCTGTGTTCAATAAAAGTATCACATGTACTATTTTGTTGTTGTTGTTTTTCTTCAGCGCACACCACGGCAATGAATGGCGTTGCAGTGGTGTGAACTGTGCCTATTCGGCAGACTGCTTTGTCTTGCGTTGGGCTGCGCTGGGCAAAACGGCCAACGCATTCAGTGTGAATCAAGCCGAACACTAAAACAATTAAACCACTATTCTGGGACTAGCGGTTACATGACAATTTTTTTTGGTGCATAACCTCTGCTAAGGGGATCAGAGCTGCTGAATTGCCATATCCTTCCGCTCCCTTTTCAGCAGTGATCACATGACCAAAATCCTATAGACATTGATCATGTGCCAGCCAGCATGGTATAGCAGTTATCTGTAGGCAAGATTATCCCTTCAGGGTTATTGTAACCTTCTCTGACTTTAGAGCACCATTCACACTGGGCGGCAAAGTGGGGGGGTGGGGGGTAAAAATGGACGCTTGTTGCACGTTTTTACCTAAAATCTAACATGGTGGCCACTCGGGTACGTTCACATGCCGCAGTGTATTGCATTGCATCACGGCAAGTTGATGTCACATTTAGGCCAGTCTCATTTTTGTCATTGTATACAGCATGTCGCATTTGGCAAGTGGTGCCTCTTACGAAATGTGACCATAGATGTCAGTGGGATTGCAACAGCTTGGCACGTGGTAGCGGCGCGGTAAAATCCCTATTGTGTTTAAAGACAAAGATGTATCCCGCCCTGAATGCCTGAAGGTCCACCGCACATGTGAACGGGGCATAAGGGGGCCGTGGGAGCAGCTCACCGCCGGTGGTCTTCTTCGTCTTCAGGTCTCTTTTAAAGTGAACAAACTAACCATCTATCAGTTCTAAATTCTTAAAGGGCTAATGACAAAAAGTTGAACTGCACAATTGTTTCTGCCGATTAGGACCGTACCATTGTTGTCCATGATTAAACAAATGACCAGCAAAGTCCTCATTTCTTTGTATGATGCTTTCCATGCTGTATATGCAGAGATAGGTGACGATGAAATTGGTAGGCAGTTGTTGTAACAGCACCCCGTGCTGGCTAAACGCTGGTACTGCGCTGCATGAAATTTAAACTGCAGAATAGAACTTTATTTAACAAATAGGAGACAAAGCTCAGTTACGTTTCACTGGCAATCCTGATTTAGTTAAATGGCCCTTTTAGGATAGCAGTCATGTTTAAGCTAGGGTTATGTTACATTTATTGAATCTATTTAAGGGTAGTTACTCCCAAAATTGATATGTGTACTCTGGTTAGGATGCTCTCGTCTTTCATGGCTCAGAAGTGTGTTCATAAAACATTCGCAGAGCTTTTCCAATGCCAGTTTTAGATTCGCACCTCATTATGGCCACTAGGTGGAGCTGAGGAGCACAGGAACTTCCTATGCACATTGGCGCCATCTGGTGGCCACAATGAGGTCTGACGCTAAAGCTGAGCCAATGTTTTATAGATATTAGATCTTGGGTGTCCTGGAGATGCGATCTCTGTTCTAGAGTTCACAACCCCCCTCCAGCTTGATGGGACCTACCCTCCTTGTTTGTGAGAAGTTTCTGGCCAGCTTTGGGACTCAAGTTCACTCCCTCTGGCTACTGTGTCCATAATGAAAAACAAAAAAGCAGGGGTAGGCAACATCAGCACGCCAGCTGCGGTGGAACTACAAGTCCCATGAGGAATTGCAAGACTGACAGCCAAAGGCATGAAGGAATTTGTAGATTTGTCACAGCTGGAGTGCTGAGGTTGCCCACCGCTGGTCCAGAAGAGCATTGCTCCCCCCTTCCTCCATTACAAAAACCAACTTGTATTCTATTCACAAAATACAAGGCTGTCAGTCTTGCAATGCCGTTTGGGACTTGTAGTTTCACACTAGCTGGAGTGCCGACGTTTCTCACCCCCGGTCTAGAAGAGCATTGCTCACTCTCCCCCTTCGTCCATTAAAAATTTTTTATAATCTTGTATTCCTGAAATACAAGGCTGTTAATCTTGCAATGCTTTATGGGACTTGTAGTTCCACAGAAGCTGGAGTGCTGAGGCAGCCCAACCTGACAGTCTCATTGTCACAGGTCGGCTAGAACTATGAGGTGAGTGGAAAGCCCCCCCCCCCCTCCCCCCCCTCATAGTTCTCCTTTTAAAGGGAAGCTCCTATGTAATGGTCATAGCAGGAGGATGAAGCTGACAAATAACATGCAGAGATCTCTCCTCCACAACCCTAAGAAATCACTGGCTGATGGCCTGAGGCAAGTTTTGGTTTTCCTCAGCCTGGAAACAGGTGGAACGCCATCAATTCAGCACCCGGCACCCACCTGTATGTCCTCTGTGTGGTCACCTCCAGACCAAGTCCTTCAGATGCAGGTCTGAGGGGTCAGATTGTGGCATGTCACACAATCTCAGCCATGCTCAGGTCTTCCTCATTGTACCGTTACATTCTGCTATGGCAGTTCTGACATCCCCACCCCCACCAAGGCCTAACGTGGACACAGTCATATCAGATGGTGATAGGTGTCACATCATTTATGTATCATAAGAGAACGTAAAATGAATGCAAGAGCTTTACATTTAAAGTGACACTAAACTCCGGAGGTAATTCTTAAAAATACATTCAAGTCCCTGAACTCTGAACAACAATGTCTCTTATTTGTGTATCACTCGGCTGTAGTTCCTCCAATCATCTCTGCATTGGTGCTGACACTGTCCTTCCTTCTGGAGGGGGGCTACTTGTGTCCCCCATGGTCCCTGTGTGTGCTGTGAAGTAGTCACCGCTCCAAGCTCCTCCCCGGGATGGACTCCACTCGGGTTTAGTTTACTCATCTGTATTGAGATTGTAGTCCATCCCGGGAGGGGGCTTGGAGCGGTCTCTATAATTGTTGTAAGTTCTTGCTACTCATGGCCGAAGTTGCCACAGTGTCAGCAAGCCCCATCCAGTTACTGGCTAGACTACATATCCCAGAATTCTCTGCGGCATTTGTATAAAGGAGCGAGCTTGGAGCGGTGACTACTTTACAGCACACACAGGCACCATGGGGAACAGACGTAGCCCCCCTCCAGAAGGAAGGACAGTGTCAGAGATGATTGGAGGATCTACAGCCGAGTGATACACAAATAAGATACATTGTTGTTCAGAGTTCAGGGACTTGAATGGATTTTTGAGATTTAATTCCTGAGTTCTGACACTTTGTCTGAATTGTATTTATTAGCAAAATGATCATTAAACCTAATTTGAGTTGCATTGTATCTGTGGAAGTCTTAAATGTGGGGAAGTGACAGGAAATGCAGAAACTTATCTTCCATTGTTCTTCCCAAGTGTCCTGAAACCCCAAATATGCAGAGTTAGACTCGGAGCAGCCCCGCCCCCATGGAACATGACCATTCAGCGATAATGTTCTCCATCACATGAGGTGCGGTAGGTAAGAGGCGAGGAACCTTTGGAGCTCCATATTGAACGTTCTGGTTTCAGGACAGCTGACTGGGGAGGAGTCAGGAAGGGATAGCGGCAATACTGTTCTTTTAACAGTAAAAAAATCAATAAAATTGCTGGGAGTAAATTCCCGCAGGCCTCGGTTGGGTAGCAGGCCTCGGTCTACCCTTGGTTGGGTGGCAGGCCTTGGTTGGGTGGCAGGCCTCGGGTGGGTAGCAGGTCTGGGTGGCAGGCCTCGGGTGGGTGGCAGGTCTCGGTTGGGTGGCAGGTCTCTGTCTACCCTTGGTTGGGTGGCAGGTCTCGGTCTACCCTTGGTTGGGTGGCAGGTCTCGGTCTACCCTTGGTTGGGTGGCAGGTTTCATTCTAGTCCGTCATCCACATCACATTTGGGTAAGAATGGCTGAGAGAACGGTTCCCTGGAATAGAAGGTCTCTGCGCTGAAGATAAAGTGGAACTTTGCCATGTTTGAGTGAAGATCAGACGCGCGCACAGGCAGCAATACAGTTGTCACCGAGGTTCTGATCACCATCCAGAAAATGAATACAAAGTTTTTATTTAGTTTTCAAACAGAAATATAGACGTGGCGGAGACGATATAAAACATTGAGGAGAGACGGCACATAGGGAGAGTCCATAAATCGTATAGCACAGCGGTTCTCAACCTGGGGGGTCAAATGACGATTTGCCAGGGGTCGCCAAAAGACATCCCAACTCTCCCGGACGCTCTGGGAGTCTCCCGCTATTAGATGGAGAGGAACACTTTCTCCCGGAAAGGTTTACTCTGCTTGAACGAGCAGAGTAAACCTTTCCCTGCTCTGGTTTTTTTTTTTTTTTTTCTTCGGTCATCGGAGCCGCTGTCAGGAAAAAAACCAGCATAGGAATGCATTGCTAGATTCCTATTGGCTATTTCACTTTGCAATAGCCAATAGCAAACTAGCTATTGCACCCGCCCACTGCTGCTGTCAATGGGCAGTGGGAGACCGGAAGTTCCCCATCAGGTCCTCTTCTAGTGATTGACAGCAGCAGAGGGCGGGTGCAATAGCCAGCTTGCTATTGCAAATTGAAATAGCCAATAGCAATCTAGCTATTCATTCCTATGCTGTTTGGTTTTTCTGGCAGCTGGCGGCTCTGATCTCAGAAAAAAAAAAACCCGGAGCAGAGTAAACCTTTCCCGGGAGAAAGTGTTTCTCTGCCGGACAGCCGGGAGCCGCTATCTAACGGTAGCAAAATTACAGCGATGGAGCAACGAAAATAATGTTACTGTTAGGGGGTCGCCACAACTTGGGATTTGTTATCAAAGGGTCACGGCACTAGAAGGGCTTGTTCACACCAAATGCAGACCAGATCTGCGTGAGTTTCTGCACACGGAGTGCAGTGGGTTGTGCCGCGTTTTGATGCGTTTTGGGCCGTTGGGTTAAAAAAAACATTTTTTTAGTTTAGAATGGGCTTTCAGCGTGTTTGTATGCGTTCCAGAGCAGGTAAAATAGGGCCTGCTGCTGTTTGTTTGTTTTTTTTACATGCTCTGGAACTGAACTCTGCGGTATGAACTGGAGCCCCAAATACCATTGGAATACATTGGACGCAGTTTTGATCCGGCCTGTAACTGCTCTGCAAAACGCTCAAACACCGAAATCCTATTATTACCCATGGGTATGGTTCCCACCTGGGCGTATTACAGGCCGTATGAACGCGCTACAAAACGCCCTGCACCCAAAGAAGTACAGGAGCTTGTTTGGGGCGTATTTGCCGCGCGTATCCATTGGGATACAGCCAAGTAGCCCTCGGAAACGTGTGTTTTTTACCGAGAATCGCGCATATTCGATACGCCTAGGTGTGAATCCAGCCTAAAACGCGCGACAAACGCGCATATTCGATACGCCTAGGTGTGAACCCAGCCTAAAGGTGGAGAACCGCTGGTATAGAACAACATAACGAACATAGGTGCCCAGGAATGATAATAGCAAAAGTAAGCGCATAAGAGCGCCGCAAAGGTCAATGACGCTTGTGTGTAAATGGTAAACAACCTTAAGGCCTCATTCACACACGACGCAAGAGCAAAATTGTATATTGCAATGCGTATATGTGCGCGTATGTATACGCATATACGCGTGCACTATATGCAATCCCAGAATGCATCACTTGAAACGGAAATTTTAATGTGCTGTACGCACAAACATGCGTATGCGCGTAAAATACGCTGCCCGGACCCATCTCTTTTCCGTTTTGTTTTTGCGCATGTTTACGCTACGCAAATATACGGCTCCATACGCAGCTGTGTGTATGGAGCCATGTATTTGCATATGGGACAATACGCGCGGCGGTGTGAATGCGGCGTTACTGTACGCCTGTGTCAGCGCGACGTAACATCAAAATAGAAGTGTAAACTTCCGAGATAGAGAAAGGAAGAAGAAAGGGGCGAGCCCAGAACAAGAGAGAGACCGAAAAGATGGAACCTCGCAGCCTCCCCGTTACTCTCACCCTAAACCTTGGGAAGGAAGGGATCCCAGAACAACACTTGCAGATCTTTTTATTAGATCCGCCCCCCCGCCCCCCCCCTTT